AAGCTGATTCTCCAGTGCTGAATTGAGAAAGTGCTGTGGGCACAGAGGTGTCAGTTTTAGGTAAGTTATGAAAGTCTGCTGCCTGTTCAGGTGGTTGTAAAAGATTCTATGACACGGTCAAAGGGTAAGAAACTCATGTGGTGTGCTCGCAGAATTCTTCCCTAACTGACTCGACCAAAATTCCATTAACAGGTTATAACTCTCATTCGCATTTTTGTCAGACTTTGCTACGTGCAAAGTGTTTTTGTTCACTTGTTTTTGTTTTAGGGTTTGGACAAGTAAATTGCAGCTGGTAAAGCTGCAATTACTGCCTGTACAGTTGCTATAATAGGCAATAACAGGCCTTTTCCTTGCCGACTATGTTCCCCAGAAGTATTGAAGAAATGACTTGCTCAGCCACTTTTCAGAACACCAAGCCTCTGCCCTTTTTACCACAGCACTAATATGGTTTATCCAGTTCACCTTCGGCTCAAAAATGATCGCAAGAAAATCAGCCATTTGGTGAAAGCACTGTTATTGAATGTCAAGGGAAAGTGACTGGGCTTTTTGTGTTGGAGATGTGATTGCCTGGTATTTATATAGCTTGAATGTTCTTTAAGTGTTTGACTTGGCTAGGTCCTGATAATACTGTAGGCTGCGATTGACTGCTCAATCGTGGTAGAGTTGTGATGATGGCTGAATACATCATAATCTCTAAATATGGACACACTTTGACTTTCAGGTAGACAGAATGCATTCAATAAAGACTGTTGACTTAAAGATGTTTCTTTGAACAACTGGGGCTCTGATGAAGACGTCCACCTTGTTTTCCATCAGGCGAGACTCTAGTCACTGGACACTTTCCCCTCAGTTTTGCTGAGGCACTTTGGGACTGTGTTCAGTTAAATGCTCTACTTATGCAGCAGTTTACAAATCTCATTTCTCCTCTGACTTTTAAGGCTGTGAAGAGTTTAGAAACTTCAAAGTGTTTCCAGTGTGGCAATCAACAAACTTCAAGAAGTAAATGTTTATGTGAGGCAATGGCCAAGTGGACTGTTAATCCAGGGACCCAGATTCTAATCCCGCCATGGCAGATGGTGGAATTTGAATTCAATAAGTATCTGGAATTAAGAATCTAATGTGAATCCATTGTTGATTGTTGGAAAAATCCATCTGGGTCACTAATGCCCTTTAGGGAAGGGAACTGTCATCCGTACCTGGTCTGGCTTACATGTGACTGCAGACCCACAGCAATGTGGTTGACTCTTAATTGCCCTCTGGGCAATTAGGGATGGGCAATAAACGCTGTCTGGCCAGCAACACCCTCATCCTGTGAATGAATAAAAAAAACTTGGGGACATCCTGACAAACTGATATGATGCTATATGAAGATAAGCTCTTGCTTTACTACAACGCTCAAATAAGATGTATAATCGCTATATAAGGCTGCAATTTCACACTATATGGAGACACCACCTGGTTTTCCAGCACTACCCTGCCCCAGGTCATTTTCCCAGAGCTGTGATCAAAGGGGGAGAGAAGGGTTACTCACATGCAAGCGGTGAGTAGCCAAGCAACAGACAATTACTAGAGGCTAGCTGGCCACAGGCTACCCTGTAGAAGGGCTTCACAATGAAAGTATAGCCACTCTTTTAATTCATAAATTTTCAAAGTTGGTGAGAAGTTATTTCAAGAGATGAGTTTTCTCTATCTCTCTCTCTCTTCTGTCTCTTACTTGCTCCAGCAGACTGCACCTCTTGCTATGGGTGAGGCCCTCCTTCGCTCTCCAGCTTTGAGAGACCATCCTTAAATTAATGGCCAGTTTATCCTCTGGCCACTGATTAGCCACTTCAGAGAAAAACACTGCCAGTCAACAACGTGTGGTCAATTTTTAATTCTGTCAAGGTCTTGATCCAAAAGCCTAAAATTCTGCCCTTTGTCTCTATTCTCTGTGGTACTGAGCTAAATATTAAATCAAAATCATAAATCAAACAATCGCCTACATTAAACTGATTTTCCATGGCATTTTTAAGAACAATGCAAGATTTACTGGTTATGCAAGAGTGATCTGGTTCAAATGTGACAGCTGAGATTCAGCATTGACAGGAGAAAATCGAGAAACCTAGAGAGACAATCTTATGTTTTCCAATTCAGAAAAAGTTTATGAATGCAGAAATATTTTAAATTTGACTTTTAAATCCAACAAGCTAGTCATTGATATAAAGTGAGACTTCTCTCAAATAACCCAAGGAGTTACATCACCAAAGTCTGACTTGTCAATTGATTTTCTTTTGCTATTTCTGCCTAACTTTAAAAGAAATCACAATTGGCAAAGGAAATAGTGAGCATAAGAATAGGAGAAAACAAATGAGCATCTGATTGATCTAATCATTTTTGCCGAATGCCTCAACAAGTTGACGATTTCAATTATGTGTGCTAACCATCCTACCATAACTGCTGTCCTATTATCATATGGAATATTCCCCTGAAATTGCATGTCATTTTTACAAAAGTACTCAAAGTAATGAAGAAATTCCTGCTATATTCCAAAATAACAATCTTTGCATTCCCTTCAACACTGTGTGTAATACTATTGGTTAAGGATCCCATTCTCAATTGTTTACACATTTAATATAGTTCACAAATGATCCACGAAGTTTTAAGTAGACAATTTCACAAGGTGACCCATGTTTGAACCGAGACAAAAACAGAGACAAGTTACAACCATCAACAACATTCTTGCTGATATCCTCCAAAAGCCTGCATAATATTTCTGAAATCACAAAGGAATCATTGCCATTCTAGACGTAAGTATCCTTAGGTAAATGCAAACCATTACTGAAAGTGTCTATCTCAATGAATCATCTCATTTTCCCCCCATTTGTCCTAGAAGATTGTAATCAGATTCAATAATCCACATTGTAAGGTTAGAAATGGCTTTGCACTATATGGTGTTAGGCCCCTGATCAAAAAATGTTTCCAACATAAAGACTTTACACCCATTTCTGTGGTACCCATTTTCACCATTTTTATCTTCAGGCCATATTAAATGTGAATCAAAATTGAACTGAAAGTCCAAATAAGGAAAATGAAAGCATGAAAGATTAGTGACATACAAACAAACCTAAGTTAAAAATTATTTGCATCACGATTTTATAGGTTTCCTTGAATGGCAACATTGAAGATTGATTTAACCTAGACAGCCAGGCTATACCATTCGCTAACACAACTACTTCATCCAACAGTATTTACAAGAAGAAATTATTATATTAATGGTTTTGAAACCTTATAACTACTAACAGCACAGAATTCTGAATATCTCAAATTGTATTAGTTATTTCTACAAGACAATCCAACTCAATCCCTTAAGCAATAAAGTTGAAAGTGCAATCAATAGTAATCTAGCACAGAAATGAAGAGATTCAAGGGGAAGTGATCATACGCTGTTTCAATAAATGTAAAAGTTATATACAAAATAACTGCAATGAAATTAAAATCTATTTATAGTTTACTTATATCTCACCAGCATTTTTCATGGCCCTTCCAAACTCTCTAAAATTACTAGGCAGCTCATCTGATATCCATTAGTACATGAGCAGAAATTTTCCCCCAAATCAATGTCAGGAAGATTGAAGCCAATATCTTCAATCATCCTACAAACTCCATTCCCTAGCCACCAACTCCTTACCTGTGCTTCACAACTCTGCTCAGACTAAACGAGACTGATGACCCACGGTGGACATTCAAGCGTTCAACCACACCATCAACAAGACAGTCAATTTCCACTTCCATGACATGACCACACTCTGATGCTGCCTCAGCTCATTTGTTGTGGTAACTTTAATCCATCTTTTTGTTGTCCCTAAGTGTGACTATCCAATTCATTGCTAGCTTCTATCTTCAATTAAGTTGAGGTCATTAAAAATTCTGTCCTAAATCACACCAAGTTCCATTGAGTTATCACCCTTGGCTTGCTAACTTACATTCACTCTCAATAAGGACACAATTGTCATAAATTCAATATTCCATACTGAGATGAAAGATTCAACAAGTAAATCAAAACTGCTAAAATTATCTTCAAAAAAAACCTTACATATTTAAGATACAACCTCATAGAGGGCACAGGAACAATATCATCCTTGTCAAGGTTAAGAAATTCTCCCCATATCAGCGATGAGATTTATTTAATTGCAGTTGATGTATCTGTTCTACTCTTCTGTCCACCATTTTCAACATCTTAGTTGCATCTGGTTTCACAGATTCAATGTAGACATCACTGAGGTCATTAGAACATGCTAATTATAATGACGTGTTTAAGGTTGCAAAAGTTGGCGAATTATCAATTATTATCACTTGCAATTATTGGCTTACCCTTCTTACTAGTGTCAAGCATGTTATACTGTCACCATAGGGATTAAAACTGTGACAAATACTGCAACATCATGCTTTTGCCTTATCCCATCTCAGTTTAAAAAAAAAGGTCCCTTAGTTTTACAAGGTACATTTTATTCCTTCCTCATGCCAGTAAACAAATGTGTCACGTAAGAATTGGTGGAAAGAATAATTAAGGAGGAGGGGCAGAACTGCTGCAACAACTGAGATCTTATGATGGGCCTAAGGAATTATTGGATGATGCAAACTGCTTAGATCATCGCTTAGTTCTTTCTTAGTTTTCGACAACTAAGCAATAGAGACCAAGAAGCTTCAGTTTTTTGGAACCTGTTGAAGAAGCTATACCAGTCAAGTAGGGGGTTTGCAATGACTTCACTGTCTCTGAATTACAGAGACACCAAACCATCCTTCCCACCTAGATTGTTACCCAAGGTGACACTCTGCTGACTGACAGTGAGTTACTGATATCCATTTTAAGGAAGTATCACTTGAAAGGTTGATGCTTCAATTATCGTGTATGTGTATGTGCGTGTGGGGGTGTGTGTGGGTGAATGTGAGAGTGTGTGTGGGTGGGTGTGTGTGTGTGTGGGTGAGGAGCAACAGGTTGAGAGTAACCAAGCCAGCCTTACCCGCAGTAGAGTCTGTGACTCCTCCCTCGCCTTGTTGAGTTCAGTGGATGTTGGATACTGTGGAGTGAGAGCCCGGGACTTGTCCCTTTCTCCTCCTCCCCCTCCTCCTGTAGAAATCTGTTGCACTCCAGCTGGAAAGCCTTTGGAGTCAGCGGTCTGCATTCCATAGACGGGCCGCCCGGAGTCCCCTTCTTCCGGAGCCCTGCGGCTGTTCTTGTGGCTCTCCTGGGCCAGGCCGCCGGGGGAGGCGGTGTGTAGCCTGGTGGCGGCTTGTGTAGCCGGGTACGGGCTCCCTTTGTGAGGCTCCCCGGCGCTCTCCTTGATCGCCCAGCCTGGCTTCTTGGCGTCTTCCTTGGGGGGGTCGGCCCAGCCTCGGCCCTCCTCCTCGGTTGGGGTCGGGGTCGGGGTCGGGGCTGGTGGAGGCTGGCTGGTGCTGCTGCTATCACACGGGGTTGGGGGGCGCTGGTGCCGCATCTCCTGGTCGATGGCACCGGGAGGAGGTGGCGGCGCTGGGGGTGGCGACTCTCCGCCGCTGGTGCTGTTGCTGCTGCTCGCTGCCTCCTGGGGCACACAGTGCGCCGTGTTGAAATGCTCCAGCAACGCCTGAGTCCCTGGGGCGCTCCACTTACACTGACGGCACTTGTAGCAGTTATGAGCCCTCCTAAAACACACAGATAAAGCAAAAATTAACTTGAGGTCTAACTTCGTTTTTAAAGGGAAAAAAAAGCACGATTCCTCTCAATCAGTTCAGCAAGAAAAAAAACAAAACTTTTGAAGTTACATCAAGTGCATTTCTTAAGCCTACTGTACTTCGAGCAAGTCCGAACAGATAGTGCCCAATACTAACAAGAGCAAATTGTTACCATTTGAGCCCTTGGTGTGTTCAGTTTAGGGATCCAGGTTAGTTCCTGCACAAAGCGCAGCCAAACTGCACGTTGTACACCGGAACATGAAAACCCTTAAAGGTTTTGCATTGGTGACATGTTTTCACAATTTACTGAGGTTTGTTAATGAACTGTAGCTAGTTATAATAACCTGATGACAGACTAACGATGGACCATCACAAAACAATCCGGTTGATCTGCCTTCTTTGATGCCAAACCGAAACGGATGATTTTAAAACTCTCCATGCTTGGTTACCGTGCTAGCTCAGCCCCTATCTGGTGTCAGACTTTTAGCTCAGTGTAAAAACTCACCCTCCAATGGGGAGGGGGAGGGTATATTTAACCTGTCTGGTCTGTTACCTGTAGTGTCGAAAAATCTCCTCCTCTACTTGAGTCACAAAGTCGCACTTGGTGCAGCAGTGCTCTTCAGTGTCTTCGCTGGTCACTGGGCCATCACTTCCCTGCTGGCTATTCTCAGCCTTTGCTGGGCTCTGGTTGATACTGTTGTTGCTGCTGTGCATTGCCTCGTAATGCTGCAGCAGTGTGTCTACGTCCTGAACTGTGAACGAGCACTGGTCGCACTGGTGCTTCACCCTGGCACTCCCTTCCACCCCCTGGGACGAGTGCAAGAGCAACAGGGTGCAGTGGGAGCAATTACTCTTCCTGCAAGCGAATGGGTAGGTAATGTCCCCCAGGTGCTTCTCGGGGCCGCACAGCCCCCCGGGGCAGTACTGGCAGTGTTTAATGGTGCATTTGTGGACGTTGTGAACGTAATGGTAGTGGCGGAGCAGGGGTCCCACAGCGATCACGTCAGGCCCATGACTGGTGGAGTACCTGAATTTGCACAGTTGGCAGTTATAGCTGGTGACCACACTCTCCTCCGTTGCCTTGTCCTTCTTTCGGGCTGAGGCTGCGCCTTTCTCCGTCTTCGCCGGGAGCTCCCCGTCGGATTTGCCGAGAGGGGCGCGCTCTTTCGGGGAGTCATTCTGAGCAAGTGGGGCTCCCTGTCTGCCAGCTTTGTCCGGAAAGTCTCGGTTAAAGTAGCCGGTGCGCTGATTCTCCCCGTGCAGTTTATTGTAATGATCCGTGAGCTTTAAGGTGTCTGACGACTCACAGCTGAAGCTGCAAAAACGACACCAGAAGTAACAGGTAGAGTCCATGCCATTCTGTTTGGAGCTGGTATCCACCGACTTGATGGGCACAGAGTAGCCAATGGGGGTATCATCCGTGGCTTTGATAGTGACCTTCTCCTGCCATTTGCCCACATCCTCTGGGTCTATGGGACGAGGTAAGTGGCGCTCTGTTGCCGAACTGCCTTTGCTGGTGTTTTTCTCCGGTTTGGTCGCATCCTTCCCAGCCTCGGGAGCAGAAGGCACACTTTTCATTTTGTTGGGATGCGTTGACACGAAGTGCTGCTCCAGTTCCGACGAAGAACTGCCCATGTAAGTGAAATTGCAGAACTTGCACCGGAAATACTTGGTGTTGCCCTGACAGTCGGGCGTTTTGCGTCCGATGCCAATGAACATGCCTCCCAAAGTAACCTGGAAAAAAAAGTAAAAAAAAAGATAAACGTGCTTTCCGTTGTAGCGTGTGAAATAAGCAATCATGTGACAGTTTCTCAGACGATAACATTTTCTATCGTTATTTGTTAGAGACCGTCGTGTGACACCAAGATAGTTTTTGGTATCTATGACAAGTTGAACATTGCTTTCCACTGTGCCAATCGACGTCTGTTGGTTTAGAAAGCTAGCTTATTCCAATTATCCAATTTTGGTATTAGTGTTTTTTTTCTACACATCTAGTGTTTTTTTAATTTGCAATTTTCAAGATGGATTTATCGTCGCCGATTTGAAATCAAAGCAGAGGTGCGGTAACGATTTTACAGCTCGCCGAGGGAATGGGGGACAAAATAAGAGTAAACAGCTCGTTAGTCTTTTTAGGTTTTTTTTCGTTAACCCTTTCAATGCCACAAGAGTCATTAATTAGCAAATAAAGTTGCTAAGGTAAAAAAATAAAGCATTGGTGGAGCTAAGGGGGCGGGGAAGTCTGAAGTGTTATTTCTTGCATTTACAGACATCATTGTCTCCAGTCCTCAGCTACGGTCACATCATTTAGAGCAATTGCAGGGTCTCAGTATGCATGTTAATGAAGGACTTAATACTAAAACTGCACTTTAACTAGTTCAAAAAGTCTAATGCAATGATGCTGTGATCGGCTGTGGAGCTGACATGGTCAGGATGTATATAACTATTCAGGAATAGCAGGGAGGACAGCCTTCATAAAATGTACTTCAACCCAATGTTTTAAGATAAACATTTTCCCCCCCTCCTCTGGTTGCTTATTTCATGGTTTCTAAATAAGCCAATCCCCTAAAGGCTGATTCATTTATGTTCTGCAAGTTTGATGTACATTATGAGATCTTATAGATGTGGCTATTTCTGCCACTTCCTTATTTTAAACTGAGACTTGCTTTCTCCTGTATTCTGAAAGCACAGGTAAGTCTGTTTTGTCTGCTTTAGACCCCAAGTTCTGAGATATTACTGATTCCTACATAGATTGAAGAAGATGGTTAAGTTTCCAGGTAGGCCTCTGAGCCTCCCTTTCAACTGAGGGAAATACTTCCGAAACTAGTTGACAAATGTTAATAAAATGGCACAAGAATTAACTCCCAAATAAAAAAAGCCTCAAAAACATTGTTTGGAGTAATTGCTCGTTAATATTTCCTATTTACCATTATTCTAATTGTTACAGTGTCATGCCAGTTTCCACATGTGGCTATGCAATGCAGCAAAGTATATAATTAGCTAGTAAACTGCTGTGAAGATTAGTGGTAGCCAAAAGACACCTAAAGAATCCTCAACAAAAACAAGTAATGTGTTTGACTAAACTGACAAGTATGCCACTTGGACATGTGTATAAATTGTACGGCTAAAAGATTAAGTTGGACTACTTTCTAGAAGTGTCATCAGCAGGTAGTTTATTGCAGTGAATCCTGATGTGAGCATTCAACGGCAACTACAGACAAATTGATATTAAAAATGAATTAATTAAGTGGAGACAGCTTTTCATTAACAGTAATGGACTCAAATGGTGTTTATGTTGTCTGATACATTTAGCAGCGACCTTCCTAGCCGATTTGCAAGCAGTATAGTCAGTAAACAAATCACTGCAATCAAATGTAAATAGCTATTAGATGAAAATTATTAGGGTATATTCCAATTAACAAAATTTGAATCTCTGGCGAGAGGCTTTCCTGGATGATTTCAGGAATGCAATATTACTAGCCCTTAGGTGAAAACCAAAAGGAAATGATGTATGTTCAGCCACTGCGAGCCAATGGAACATGACAGGAATATTACTGTATTTTTGTCACACAAAGTGCATTAAAATACACCCACAGAATGCAGTAGTGCAATATATGGTCATCTCGATTTGGATCATTGCCATATTATTTCATCATGCATTATATGATTAATTAAACAGCAATTTCATTCACAGCTTCCACCACTCCTCCCCGCTTTATGTTCCTGCTGCTAAAGCATTAGATCTTATATATCTCTCTCTCTAGTAAAACCGTGAAGGGGCAATTCTCCCAGCACCACTCTTAACCCCCTTGTCCTACAGAGCTTTCCTTTCCAGTTAATGCTGCAATTCCACTTTGAAAGGCTTAGTTGAACCTGCCTCTGTCACACTATGAAGCAGTACATTCCAGACCCTAACCACTGCCTGACTTTGTACCAAGTACCCGGGAATGGGTCAGAGTCATACAACAAGAAAACAGAGCCTTCGGTCCAACTAGTCCACAGTGACCATGTTCCCAAACTAAACTAGTTCCACCTGCCTGCGTTTGGCCCATATCTCTCCAAACATTTCCTATTCATATACTTACCCAAATGTCTTTTAAACATTGTAACTATACATGCAAGTAATGCTTCCTCTGGCAGTTCATTCCACACACTAACCATTTTCTATGTAAATAAGTTGTCCCTCATGCCCTTTTTAAATCTTTCCCCTCTCACCTTAAAAATATGCCCCCCTAGTTTTGAACACCCCAACTAAGGGAAAAGACTTTTGCTATTCAACTTATCCATGCCCCTCGTGGTTTTATAAACTTCTATAAGGTCACCCTTCAACCTCCTATCTCCAGTGTAAAAAAAAGTTCCCAGCCCATTTTTTAACTCAAACCCCCGATTCTAGTAAATCTTTTCTGAACCCTCTCCAGTTTAATAATATCTTTCCTATAACAGAACTGTACACAGTACTCCAACAGACGCCTCACCAACGTCCCGTCCAACCTCAACATGACGTCCCACGAGGTTTGAACAATGAAGGCAAGCGTCTTAAATGCCTTCTTAACCACCCTGTCTACCTGTGATGCAAATTTCGAAGAATTATGTATCTGAGCCCTTAGGTCTCTACAACTACTACCCAGGGTCCTATCATTAACTGTAAAAATCCTGCCCTTGAGTCGGTTGGGAACAGTTCAGAAGATACCTACATGTACATCGTAGGTCCCATTTAACATGGCAGGTCGCTGAGCACTCAGGTCCTGTAACATCCCAGTGAGCAAGCCCGCATTTCGGCTCAGTTTCTGCAAGTCTTTGGACTGGGAGAACTGCACCATATTATGTAACGCGAGGATTTTGGTGTCCAGGTCCGCATCTTGGCGGGTGCGGTTGTGCAGACCCAGGTGATATTTGCGGAAATGCTTGATCAGATCGGTTGGGTCGTTGCCGTAATAGCCGTAGCCGCAAATGTTGCATTTGAAGTCTTGCAGCTCGGGAGTCAGGGGCGCTGCGTCTGAGTTGTCAGACAGTTCCTCTGCCTTTGTCTGATCAAGTGCAACACCCGCATCTGAAAGCACCTGAGAGTTTTCTGAAGGCACCGAACCCGGCCTGGAGTTGGGACGTTCAGGTGGCTCACCCTCTAGCAGCTGCCCCTTCTCCCGCCCACTTTTGGGTGATGTTTGAGCTCTGTGGTTTAATTCCGAGAGGTTTCCAGACACATTGCGGCTCCTGCCATCGCCATCATCTGGTTCTGATCTGCAAGGAGACTTCCAGGCCTCGCAGACTCTACCAGCAGCCTGAGATGAGAGAGCAGACATATTTCTGTCTGTCACCTCATCTTGCGGGAAGGATGGAACATTTCCTCCCTTCTTGTGGCTTTCATAATTAAAGCCATTCCCTTCGCCCAGTGCGGGGCTTTTCAAGTCGCTTTTGATGCTGGCGACGTCCGCGACACGCAGACAATGTTCCTCCTTGTTGACTAACTCGAATGCATCTTGCTGGTTGTTGTGTTCCTGCATGGGATCCCGGAGTCCGGAGCTTTCTGCAGCCTCCTGGTTCACGGTACTTTCTGGCTGAGAGACCTGGCAATTCTCACTTTCGCCTTGGCTCACAAGATTTCTCAGTGGTGGATTCTTTTTCCGGACCATATCTGTGCGAAAGCAAAATACACATAATGAGAACATGCTTCTCTTTAGAGAATTTAAAACCTGGAGAGGGAAAGGCTGCCCCTAAGCATGGTTAAATTTTGAACAGCTCAAAGACAGTTTTCCTTTCACCTGGATTCATATTTCCGCCATAACTCCAGCCTCTTTCTAAAACCCCTCGGTTTCAGCTCTGCTCCAGTTTCACCCTAACCCCGTTTTCTTTTAAAGTGCTGCTCACTCTTTTGTTGTGGCTGTTTACATGTTTTCCCAGTGATGGTTTACGAGACAGACCCGCCCAAGTTTTATACAGATGAATCTATTGTCGAGTTTTGACAGAAGAGGATGAGACAGGGAAGGGACATCACTTCATCTTCCAAAGCAATCACAATCAAGCTTGCACTACGTCTGTTGTACTTTAAGCTTCCTTGTGAAGAAAGTAACTGTAATGTCATGTATGTCCAATGTCGTTGTGTGTAGGTACATAATTTTTCAGTGTCCATACTGTGGATTCGAGAAAATTTGTCAGGTCAGTGGAATGTTCTGTTAACATTTATATCGGCAAAGGTACCGGAGCCACGGCCTTCTACCCCACGGCCTTCTACCATTCAATGTATCAGGCACCGACAGTTACAATAGGAAAGTCTGCCACCGTCATTATTCCAAGAGATTAGTTTGCGGCAGTTCCAGCTATATTCCTAAAGACCTTACAGGATTGCCCTTTCCACAACAAGTAAATCAAAATACTGTGAATGACTGATTCGATGGAGATTTTCTTCACGATTATAACCCCTCATCATTATACTCCTAAAATAATAACTTAGCTGTACTTGTTTCCCTTTCAGAACGTGAATAGCTTTGCCCTGCTTTGTTAACTTCACATGACGGCATTTGTGTTTGTTACAAAGGAATTCATAAAACGGACAGGGTAATTTATACAAATACCTTGGCGGTAAGTTTGATTTAACTCGCTATCGCCCGGCAACTAACTAACTGCCCTTTCTGTGCCAATAACTACTGTAACTAGTAGTTAACATGTTCCAACTCCCGTACTCATTTGAATAAATCAGTGGAATATGTGGATAATAAACACCATTCTTCATTCGGAAAAAGAGTGAGGGACAAGGTACGACTCCTCAATCGAGATGTCTGTCCAAAAATAATCCACACCTTTAAACAACCATTCGGTGCTGACTAGGCCTACCTTCTCAAAAAGTGATCTGACGTGGTTTCAACTTATAAGTCTTTCCTTGGCGGGCACTGTTTTGATGCAAATTCCCAGGACTGACGATAACAAAATCTACTTTGTTAACGCCGAGGAACGTTTAGCTACTCAGAAGTAAAATCGTCAGCCACAAAAAGCCAGCCAGGGCTTTTTCTGTCCCTCTCTCTCTACAGTACGTGTCCTGACAATAAGCCAGAAACTGCAAATAAAATGGGTAACTCGGTAAAGCACAGCTTTGGGAAAACGTCACAGACCATCTGCTTGAATAAGTTTTATTAGATGAATGTGACTACCACAACACACACAAAAAAAAAGTTTCCGAAGAATTCAAAGCTCGAACCCCTGCCAGTTTGGTCTGTTACCTAACGAAAATTTTCAAACAATTATTTCAATCTTCTTTTTCGGATATTCCACCACGTTGATCCCAGAATTGGTATATTCCACAACTTTCAAGCGTCTCTTGTTTATGTTGGTGCCAATAAATCTCTGCAGATGGCCTAAACTGGAAACGAATATTCAGTTCAATAGTGTGCACTTCCAGGAACTGATGTTGTAGACTGAAAGTCAACAGGTTTAGAATGACAGCCAGACTATTTTAAGCTGGAAATTACACCGTTTCGAGTCAAAACAGCCAACTTTTTTCTGCTTTAGCATCGATAATTCCATCAAGAACAACCCTCAACTTTTGGGACATCGTGCTTACTTTCTGTACTGTGTACGTTTACTGCCATTGCAATAATTAGATGGTCAGATTCACTTCTGTCCATTCAAACGAATGTGAACAAATGCTAGTTTGGCCCTGTGAGCAAACTTTGCCCAAGTCCCAAATTGTTTCTGGCTTGGACACTGCCATAATAATCAGTCACATGATCAAAGTACACACACACTCATTCTGTGTTCTGCAATTAAGTGCGCAATGATACCATTCTTCTCCATAATGCACTGATATTCCCAATTATATGTACGCAAACACATGTGCAATTAAAAGGAGCTTGTGGTAATCTCATGCATCCTTTAGGAAGGGAATACACAGAGTAACGAATCAAATGAAATATATTTTAAAGAAGTTTAAAATGATCATAACTATTGATGCTGAGTACAAACGTGTCAGAGGCACCCCAAAACAATCTAAACATTCAAACTGTGCTAAGTGAATAAAGTCGATTCCATTCTCCACCCGCGAGAACAATGTTATTTTAGTGACTGAATTTCAACATTTCAGACCTTCATCGTGGTTTAATTTATATGATTGCGACGCTAAGGAGCTACTAAAGTGGAATACAGATCTCGGCAGTAAATCAATACACGTTTTGCTCATTCCACACACGCCAGATTGGCCCAGCGATGCCTGTGTTCATTATCTGATCAAGCACTGTATAAACTTGCCATTAATCATAACATCAAATCACACAATATTCCTCGTAGCAGAATGATTATTACAAGCTCGCCCACCTATCTGCCAACAATGCCACACGCTATTGCTGTAATGTGCTCCAGCGCAATGGGGAATTTGCTACTGAGACCGTTTAGTTTGTTCTGATCCTCAAATGAAAGCTCAGCCAGAAGTGATCACGTCTCGGAGACAAGAATCGTTAATCAACACGTGCTAGGAACTAGACTGAACAACTGCTTTCCGCAACATTTCCTGTGATAAGGACACAAAGACTTGCAAAGAGATCAGACTTCAATGGGCTCATAGTTCATGTGAATGCAAACGTGACATTCACTTTACACAGTATTCTGAACAGACCGGGCCCATTCAAGGCAGTGGACATTTTTTTTCCCCAAGCCAGTTTCACAGAGCTCCCCCCAAATACAATTGAAACGGACTCCAACATCGGCCTCCGTGGTACCTTTAAATGTTTGCGAAACTTTTACCAGATATCAACGTTTTCACGTCAACGGTAAACGCCCCGAGGAGGTATTTTACCGGATTAGCCCTGCTGTTCCTGCGTGCCATGTACAGTTTTGTAACTCTTTGAGTGACAAAACCCTTTTGGAGTGGCTTCGTTAAGTGATTACATCTGCAGTTCTTGCTAGACACAATAGTGACTCTAATGAAACGCCTTTAGAAAGTGCATGAGTGGAAACAGTAACTCCCAACAGGGTTCGGTTCAACTCCCCGATTAAGGAAACCCGCAAATCCTGAATTAATCACGATTCGACGTCTCAAAACATCTTAACTGATGCTAGGGAAAGGGGTGGAGGGGGGGGGAACAGTAACAGTGTCACGAATTTCCAACTTCCTCGCAGTATAGAAAACAACAGCTAATAAATTATTGCCTGGAAACCTGGGAGGGTGGATAAACGACAATTTTATTTACCCACATTCAGGGCTAGTGAGTACAAGTCAAAGCATAAGCCAGATGTGTGAGAGTTGTGGTGAGATGAAACGCAACAGCGAACGCAAAAGCCGCTTTCAACAGATCTCGCCGGCTACATCCAGCCTGAATCAGCAGGAAACATTTTAATAGCACTTTTAAGCGACACGTCCTAAACTAACTGCCATCACAAGCCACGTTTTACTGAGTATGGCTAAGTTAACGCAAACGGCCCATTCTGCCCTTGTGAGCCAGCGTAACCCTTTAAGTCAAAAGCTACAATTACTTCTGTCTGTACTTTCAAAGCTTTACTTGGCATTACATCAGGAGATTAAAAAAAAACTGAAAGTCCCTGTCTAGAGAAGTTAAACCACCGGAGGATGGTGTCTAGCCACATACACAGAGACACTTCAATGCAGCAAACACACACACACACACAACTTTTAAAAAAAAAGTTTACTCCAACCATGTTACTCGTTAATCCCGCCAGATGGGCCGCAATGGGCTCGGAAAGACTGCACAGGGGAGTGTGTGTTGGTGGTAGTGGTGGTGGGGGGGGGGGGGGGGTGGTGAGTGGGATCTCTATTCCGCTGGACCTTGAGAATGTAAGTCTATATTTTGATAAATAAACAGCGCAATCTGGAGAAATGCAAATGAAATAGCCCACTCAGATGCACTTCACCGTGTTACCTCGGCCACGTCACTCAGAAAGTTTCTTGACGCCACAGACACACTGAGACCGAAATCTTTCACTGACATCTGGGGCTGAAAAGACTCTTAGAACGCCATCCATGTCTCTTATTCCCACTTTCCCGCTAAGTCGCCGGCGCGACAACAACACGCACACACAAAAAAAAAGAGGCGAAAGCCGGCGAGTATTCCCAACGTACTTGAAATCATCGTTTCCTCTGCTAAACTTGACCCCAAAGGCTACTGCAGGCTACTGTCACGTACAAGGAACCATTTCTCAAGTCTGCTCGAGTGACCTCCCGACCCAACAAATACGGGAAATGGGAATGTATGTGAAATCTGAGAAGTCTGCCTCTTTCTTTCGAAATAAAAACGTAAAGAGAGCTGTTGACTGAACAAAACTCAATGCATTACCTTAACATATGCACATACATCTAAAACCTGCGTGCTCTTGCTGCCCTTCCCCACACACACACACACAGGCATACAGCGTGTGCAAACCGAATCAAAAAATCGCTGAGATCTTTGTTCCTTTAAACTCGGGGTTGCCTTTCGCCTACTCTCTCTCTCTCTTACCTGTTGATTTGATGGCAATAATCTTTGCAGCTGGAAAGATGGTGGAGCTTTGGGGAGAGCCATGAACCGTCTGAGTTTTTTTGCAGAGTGAGATTTTAGAGAGAGAGAGAGGGAGACAGACAGAGAGAGAGAGAAAGGAGAGGGGAAGGCGCAGGCTGAGCTGCTTGTGTCTGTCTGACCGGAGGGTGTGTGTGTGTGTAGTGTCTGTCTGTCTGTGTGTTTAATATGTCTGAGAGAAAGGGGCTCTGGTTCAGTCCGGCCTTTATCACAAATGTTATCGCTTGTCAGGACCTCGGCTTCAAGCATTACGTCATTTCAAGACAGCATTCAGCGCGAATACAAACAGCGGACATGCCTCCTGCTCCGCGCCGCCCCACAAACACACTTACACACCAGCAATGGGCTGTGATCATCGCCATCAGGCCTCCTCTCTCTCTTTGCACAGAACGCAGCCTTCCCGGAATTACTTCTCTGGCATTTTTTTAAAAAAATGTTTGCTCTTGCTCTCTTTTCTTCCTCTCTCTCTCTCTCCCCCCTCCACCCCCTTTTCACTCTCTCCCAGAGAGGGGGGCGCCACACCTTTCCTTTTTTTTGGGAGTAAGAAGGAAAAAAAAAGACCAGGCTGACTGTGGAAAAAAAAAGGAGAGCCAGCGCCGGGCGATCTTGCAGCAAGCGAGAGAGAGAGAGAGAGAGAGCTGTTGGCGGGTTATCTGTGTGGAAATCACGTCTGAACTGTTGCTCATGGGGAAGATCTTTGCCACAAGAAAAGGAGCATTGTTCTCAACTTAAGCGTTTACCTTTCTTCTCCCCTCGCTTCTTTCGCTGAGCTGATTAACACTTTTCTGATTCAAGTCTCAGGAGCAACAACTTAATTTCATGAATTTTAACTGGGAAAAGCCAATATTTGTGACTTAGTTATATAAGTGCACATTCGAGCCCGTTGAAACTTTTGATGAGATAATTTATAGTATCGTGCCCATTTCCTGTTCTGTCACTAAGAGTTTCATGTCCCGATAAGACTATTTCTAACGGAGATACAAATTTGCTTTCCCTTGCTATCGAGAATGGATCTTATCAGGGGCTGTGTCTTCTATGATATCCCAGTAACTCTTCGTTGCCCGGAGTAACGTAACTGCTGAGTGACAGCCCCACAGTTTCCCATTGACCTGTCATTGAGGGACGCTCAGTAATGAAGCCTCACTCCCTCCCTGTCTCGGCTTACAGCTGGCGAGACATTCGGTATCTGTACCTCAGTCTGCGTTCCCCGGTGCAGTGTCGTTTCCAAATGACAGGCACTTTCCTTTTGATCTCATGTAGGCTTCCTTTCACACTGTGAATCTTCAACCAAAATACCCCTTGACAAAAACAAAACTCCACGAGATTTGCTTTTTGTATCTTTTTTTTGTTTTGTTTTGTTTGCCCCTCAAGACAGGATTCTTGCTGAAGCTAGTTTTCCGTCAACTTTTAACTTTGGAACATTTCACCTGAGAGATAAGAGAGAATGAAAAATCCCAACGATTGGAAGTATCCCCAAACAGATATTTGCAGTCAAGTAAGGATAACTTTTTTTTGCAAGATGTAGTTCCTATTGGACTATGTGGTATGGCGTGTTCCTCTTTTTCTTTCAAGATGTTAATCCTTCCCAGGAAGAAGCTGTCACCTGGGCGTCCTGGAGGTGTTTGAACCCATCTTCATACACTGATGCCAGCGACGCCCTGCCTCTGTCCACGCCTTGTGCTGCTATCTTTTCAACATCCCCAACACTTTATTTCTGATTCTAAACGGCTTGTTTATTGCTCCCTTGTGAATAAACGATCCGCGTCTGTCCGCTCATTGTCGAATAATGTTTTTTTTCGATTGCTAGTTCATCTTCCGAAGTTTTCCCATCCTCATTGTCTTTCTGTTAATTATCAGCCGACAGATTCAGGCTTGTTTAGAACCGGAAGCAAATCTGAGCTGACTGCGGTTAAACAATTCTATGCAAATCCGTGTGACAGCTGAAATTTGCTGAGTCAGTCGTTTTAAAAAACGTATACTCCCTTTTTAAAGAGGCTGTTTTAGTCGATATCAAAATACAGGAGCACACCAAAATGTAAAATTAACTCCACTGCCATATATGGAAGTTGGTTAGCAGGTTACAGATTTGAGTATTACAGGGGGTCCCGAAGACTTATATTGAACTCGAAACGTTCACTCCCCCAACCCCCTCTCCATTTCTCTCTCCACAGACGCTGTCAGAACTGTTGGGTTTTCCAGCATTTTCTGTTTGCATATCAAATGTCCAGCATGCAGAAGCTTTTGATTATATTTTAGACACATTCATTCCTGATTTGGGACTGCCTGGCGGTTCCTTCATTGTTACTGTGTTAAAATCCTGGAACACCCTTCCTAACAGCAGTGTTGGTGCAGCTATGCTTGAAAGATTGTAGCAGTTCAAGAAGGGAATTTGCAGCCTACCTTCTCAAGGGTTATTAGAGAGGGGCTGTTATGGCTGGCCTAACCAGTGACACCCATACGCACGAAGGATTTTTTAAAAAGTTAGGGGATAACACTGGGGTAATGAATAGACAACCCTCTTGAAGATTGTTATGTACCAAGTACTATAGTGTGTTTCTCTCCTTCCCCTGAATGGGTAGTAATCATTTAAAGAACAGAAACCAACAGCTTTGTACTGAAATGGGTAACTGGAGTTCTGAATTCCACATGAACATACCCAGTTTCTATTGCCTCCTGACATCCTCAATTTCCCTAACAATGACAGAACTCTGGACTTCAATGTCTACCTGCAAATGCAGGAACCTCTTCAAATGTAAATATTTTGGGATTACAGTAAAGGTTTATATGAAATCCAGACAGACTCTAAATGCCTCAGAGATAGTAGGAACTACAGATGCTGGAGAATCTGTGATAACACGGTGTAGAGCTGGATGATCACAGCAGGCCAAGCAGCATCAGAGGAGCAGGAAAGCTGACATTTCGCGTCTAGACCCTTCTTCATTTTCTGAATGCCCCTGAGCTTGAACTGTCAGGATGCAAACATCAAACAGCCTTAATTGCATGATCCTAGATGTAAGATTGTTGAAAATTGGGAATTAGCAAAAAAAATCAGATTTTAAACAAAATATGACCAAATGTTTTTAAAATTTAGGCATAATAACTATACATATTATTCAATGTTTTCCACAACTTGCTTACAATTTGAAAATGTGAGACAGACCAGAACAAATCTATAGGTTAGAATAAGTATACAGTAAAATTATGCAACACTTACCCAACCAAATTCAGTATTTGCCTCACAGGTAAGCAGAATTTGTACTTTTAGTGAGTGTTGGTGTATTCTTATTTTAAAAACTTCAAAAAATATACATTTTATTGTAAGTTCATCTGGTGCATCCCAGCCACATTTCCAAAACTGCACATTATACAACATATTTAGTATTTCACTCTGCTGTTTGAAGCAAATGACCTTGTTGCTTTCACCTGATTTTACAGTATGTACTAGAATTAACCTGTAATTTCTGTCCTTCTCCAACATGCAGCCATTGTTTTTAATGACAAGTTTCCCTTTGCTTGTATGTCAATTTACTGTGATACAACACCAGCCATTCAACACACAGTAAATATATAAAATGACAATATGGTGAGAATATATTACCAAGGTGTGGTTTTGCGTGTCACAAATAGTGATTTATTTAATCCTTGACTTAATCCTAAACCAGCTGATCTCAATCAGAATGATAACGGAGCCATTACATCTGACCTTATTCTCCCCAAGCAAGGGAGGCAGATAACTCATCAAATTTTCAGTCTTAAAAAGTAATCAAAATAAAATATCTCCTTCCAAATGTGAATGTATTTATGTATGTGTTGGGTAATCACAGAAACAGAATCTACAGTGCAGAAGACCTGGAGGAACACAGCAGGCCAGGCAGTATCAGAGGAGCAGGGAAGTTGACATTTCGGGTCAGGACCCTTCTTCTAAATAAGGATCCCGAGCCGAAACGTCAACTTTTCTGTTCCTCTGATGCTGCCTGGCCTGCCCTGTTCCTCCAGTTCCATACTGTGTTTTCTCTGACTCCAGCATCTGCAGTTGTTGCTATCTTTAGCAGAACCTACAGTGATGTTTCTACGGTTAAATAACTTACCTAGAATCACGTTATTTTGGTTCTCAAAGGACAGCCCGTGCAATTGTACGCTGCTGCATGTCACCATCTTCAACGAACAAGAAATAAAGAAGGAAAATTGTGAAAACAGCATGTAATAATTTATTCAGTGGTGGATGTTCAATTGCATCAGGCATGCTATTAATTGTTCAAGAAGCTAAAAAAAAGTTACCACTGACTGTAGTAGAGGGTGAAAGACAGTTTCAGGGTAGTAAATAAAAAGGAACAAATGCCAATGACAGCAACTGAAGACAAAATGTCTGTTTCTGTCTGTCGTAACCTGTCAGTGAGCAACTGAAGTTTTCCAGAGTCCAGTGCACTCAGATCTGGTAACTTTTGTGAAGTTGTCAATGGCATAAGTAGTAAACAGATATGTTGTAACTTTTTTTTTTGCCACCAGTCCGGGGGGGAAAAATACTGCAGAAAGCTACTCTTCTATCATGGATCATCTGTGCTATTGAAACATTGTAAAGGTTTTGTGACCACTTTTTTTTCGTAAATCCTCCTTGACTGAGAGATCTTTCAACAAAAACATTTTTTTTGCAAAACATTATCCACAAGGACTGCAGTGTTAATAAGATTTCATGCAAGTGAGCAGGGGAACACCTATTTGAATTATCCAAAGGCTGCTCCTCTGGAAATGTAAAACATCAGCTGTCACAGGATGTACTTTAGGCTAGTGTTTCCAAAAGATCACAGAGAAGGTGTTGGCTCATGTACCTCTGTTGCATGAGAGTCTGTAGACTAGTCTGGCAACATTGTATTTTCACAAAACCCATCAATTAAATTACAGTGAGTACTAATACTTTCTACAAAACCTCCCACATATCCTCAAATAACAGGATACTCTGAACATGATCTGTATATTATTCTATATCAGATGTTCAGAAAGGCAGAGTCTGATACTTTGATAGCAAAAATCCATAATGCGCAATTATGGAATCTGTTCAAGGAGTCTGAATATTTATCATTGTGTTGTACAATTACTCAAACAGTGCATTCACTTTAATCATGGTTTCATGTGCTTCTGCCTGCTGCTGATACATTTAACTTTATTTAGCCCTCAGTATTTAAGTACTGTATAAATTAACTCACAAAGACCAAAAGTAATAATAAAACTCAGTTCAATAGACAGACACATTCTCAGGCCTGTTTCAGCAGTCTTCAGTTTGATAACTATGACATAAAATATTGTAGACAAGTACATTTTATGTCGGTTATGGTTCAATTATTGCCTGATTGTGATTCTGGCCAATATTTAATATTTTAGCCATACTCATTTGTCTTGGTGGTTCCTCAATAGAATATTTAGTCAATGTATACATAATATGGTTCTAAAACAGGTAGGGAATTTAAGAAACTTGCACTGTTGGCATTGTGTTTCAAAAAGAAATATACAATGCATTAATGAGCCATTTGGACAAAACTAGGACTGTGACACTAATTTCTAAAGTCTGTCTATGGACCTCAGGCAAGTTTTATTCCTGGTCAATGCTGTATTTATTGATCTCAGCCAAAATAGCAATGTGACAATAATATTAACCTTAAAATCTACATGTTGAAAAGAAGAAAATCAGCTGGGTAACCATTTCTGATTGCTATGCATAAATTCTCATTTGGATTTTTTTGTGAAAAGCTTGTAGAATGAATGGTGCAGGGC